CAGGGATGGAGAGAAGCACAGGAGACCCTCTGCTGCATGGGCCTGGGTGCTGCAGGGAGCTTCGGTGTCCCATCTGCCCAATGGGGGCCGCGAGAACGGTGTCCTCTAGAGCACCAGCTCCACGTGTCCTCCCTCCCCACGTCCACCTCCCAAGCACACACAGGCTCCACGTTCCTCCAAAAAGTTGTTTTTATCTTTTTTAAATAATGTGAAAATGCCACGCGAAGGTTGGAACCAGAGGCCCCTCCAGGGGCCAGGCTGGGGAGGGGAAGGGAGGCGCGAGATGGGGGGTCCAGGTCCCCAAAGCCTGCGGCCCCTGCATGGGGCTGGGAGTGGGCGAGGTGGGACCTTCGCTGTGCCCAGGGGCGCCAGGCCCAAAAGAGTTCAGTTCAGTTCCAAGAAAGGCGGCTCTCCAGGAAGGGATGGGGGCTTCCTGCCTCATTTGGCACCGAGGGGGTCCGGGGGGTCAGGGGAGCCGTCCGGAGGGCTGGGGGGTGGGGGGCCGGGGCCTCCCGTTTGGCACATGGTGGGGGAGGGGGAGGGCCCAACCTCAGGGACCTCCCCGGAGTCGGCGTCTGCCGCGGTGGCAGTGGCTCCCTCGTCCACAGAGGATTCTACTCTCAAACCCTCTTCTGGGGGTGCAGGGGGGTCAGGTCTTTGGGGAATCAGTTCTCCACGGGGCCTGAGGATAGAGAGAGAGGAAAGAGAAAGGGAATTACAGGAGGACAGGCTCATGGCCTCCAACTCAAATTGAACACAAAACTGAGGGAGTCCCCACCTCTGTCCCCATCTCTGTCCTCCCTACCCCACTTCCCCTGTGTGCCACACACTGGCCTCCTCGCTATTCCTCTGATGTTCCAAGCAGAGCCTTGACCCCAGGGCCTTTGCTTCTGCTATCCCTGCTGCTCTGAACGCTCTTCCCATGTAGCTCAGGCCCTCACAATGTGCCCCTCAGAGGCCTTGCCCATCCGTTTTGGGTCAAGTAGTTACCCGCTGGGGTAATTGGTCACTTGCTTCCCTCTGAATAATTTTGTTCACATTTCTCACTCCAGGGCCATCCCAGTCATTGTGGAAGAACGTTCTGTCTCCTTGCCCCTCTACAGCAGAAGTAAGGCCAGTAAAGACCTGCACAGTGGTCAGTGTCTCCAGCCTATCAAAAGTTCCCTCCTTCCCCATGGAAAAGTCTCTCCCCAGGAACCTCCCGCCAAACTTTCCCAATACCAATCCTCTGGTCACTCCAAGCCACACAAAAGCCTTGTCCGGCCCACAGATCCACAGAGCTAAGGCCGGCACGTGAAGGGTCTCACCAAGGGCTACTGCCAGCCCGCACACACTCCACTGCGGGCGTCTCCCTGGGGACTCACTCCCACTCTGCGCTCCCTGTCCCAGAGCCTCTGCTTTCTTCTTTAAATGGGAAACATGGCCCCACACTCCTTTACTTTGGTACTAGGAATCGAACCCAGGGGAGTTAACCAGAATTATATCCCCAGCCCTTTCTTGAGACAGGTTCTCACTAAGTTGCTGAGGGTCTCACTAAGTTACTGAGGCTGGCTTTGAACTTGTGATTTTCCTGCCTCAGCCAAGTTGCTGGGATCATAGGCATGTGCCACCATGCCCAGCTCTAGCTCCTTTACAAAAGAGTAGGGAGACCTGGGGCGTGTGGCATCACTCAGCACCCAGGAAATGCCGAAGTGAGCAGAGTGGCACTGAGCACAGAGGGGGTGCCCACTGCGGGCCCCGCCATGGCCCGGGGCTCAGCAGCTTCCCAGCCCAGGCTGCACTGGGAATATCTGTCAACTGAGTACAGGGATTTGGGGTTTTGCACGACTGGGCTCTCTGTCTCGATTTCCAGTGACTAAAGGTGAGGTCACCCTCACTGACTGGCCCTGCTGGCCTCAGCCCTGACTCATCATTTGGCTGGTGTCCCTGTGCCCTGGACCTATCCCACCTCTCCTCATGGGAGCCCTGAGATGGGGGTAACAGGGAGGAAGTGACATTTGGGGTGAGGCCTGTGAATGCAGCTAAGAGTCAGCCCAGCCCTGTCTGCTCTGCCCTTGACTCTGCCCTGGCCCTCCTCCCCATGGTCCCCGCTCACCAGCTCCTCTCCTGGATGCCTGCCCCAGCCTCTCCCCTCCACCCAGTTTCCACTCTCTCCCATCTGTGGACTCCTCCTGGCCCCAGAGTCTGTCCTATACCCAGTGCTGGCCCAGCCCTCCCCTCCCTACAGCCTTCCATGGCTCCCTAGCATCCCCAGGACGAGAGCCCAGACTCAGTCCACAGCAGGCCTCTGTGGTCTGCCCTGCCCCTCTCACCTGGGCCATGCTGGCCTCCCTTCTGTTCCAGGAACCGGCCAAGCTCTCTCCTGCCTCTGGCCCTTTCTGCAAGCTATTCCCCGACTCATGGCCCTAGCATGCTGTCCCCTTCCCTTTCACCCGGTTAATGACAACCAGCCCTTCAAGTCTCTGGTCAAGTGACACAGCTACTGGGAAGACAAAGCCATTTCCTCTTGTCATTTGCTTTCTCGGTGACTCTGAGGCAGTGTTGGGGTGCACAGCCAGTGTTGAGGCTCTTGGTCAGCACTGAGTCCCCCCAGCCCACACAGCCCGCACACGGGGCACTCAGTGAATGTCCACCTAGTTAAGGCAATGACAGCTGCCAGTTAGTGACCACTGCTACAGTCAGGCTTCCTGCTCCATACACAGGATCAAACCATTTAACGCCCTCAACTGCCTTAGGAGATGCTATTAATTATCACCCGCATTCTAGAGATGAGGAAACTAAAGCACAGAGAGGGAAAGTGACTTGCCCTAAGTTCTACAGCTGAGAAATGGTGGGGCCAACTTTTGGACTCGGGCAATATTTGGGGGAGCAGTAATGGAACCTTCTCTGAAAAGGCCCAGTTTCATCTTGCACATTCTCAGCTGTTTTTGAACACCAGGCCACAGGCATCCTGGGGTGTTCTCTGGATCGGCAGCAGAGGGCAGCAGAGAGACCAGTCCAGCATCCCCAGCCAGACTTGCCGGTGCCCTCTCACTAGCCTTGGCTTCCCCCAGTTATCAACTAAGGATGCCCCGCCTTCTCCCAAGATGGTCTGAGAATGGGCGATATAGAATATGTGAAATGGCCCAGGAAAAGAGCCTGACAAATCATGCATACTGGAGAAGGCGTGGACTCAGGCCAGCGATGGGGGTTCGAATCCCAGACCCTCACTCCTTTCTGTGCCTCAGTTTTCCCTATTGTAGAATGGGGATAAGAATAGAATTGACCCCATGGGATCACGGTGAGGACTACGTGGGTTAAACGCCGCATGCACAATGAGGTCTATATGACAGCTTGCTGTAGTTGCAGCAGCAGCTGCCATCACTGCGGTGGGCCTCCCTGGCCACCTCCTCTCTGCTGCAGTCCTTACTACCCAGCGTGGAGCTCGCTGCCTGACCAACATGCCTCCACCAGCGGAGTGGAATCCAGATCCAGCAGATGCCAGACAGGAGTTGGAGCCAAGAGGTGGGGCAAAGATGGGCAAGTGTGTGTGTGTGTGTGTGTGTGTGTGTGTGTGTGTGTGTGTGTGTGTGAGTGATCCTCAGAGAAAGGGAATCTCCGGCTCAGGGAGGGGGTGTGAGTGCCCAAGACCGTCTGCCGGACTGTCTGACTCGTCCCACGGCTGAGTGGGTGTCGTGGTGACTGAGAGGGACTAGGAGGAGACAGACGCAGGTAGATCCAGAGATGAGCAAGGTGCGGGGAAACGTGCGGACAGAGACCGCCGGGGGCAGGCCGGGGCCTGGAGCACTGACCTGCGGGCCGGGCGTCGGGGGCCCGGGCGGGCGGCCCCGGGGTCTCCAGCGCAGGCGAGACGGAGAAGCGGGAGAAGCACAGGGGGGGGCCTGGTGGGGGGAGGAGGGGGAAATCCTCCGCCCACTCGAAACTGCCTCCTGGGGGAAGAGAGAGCCCGCCAGCCCTCAGACTCCGCGGGGTCTCCCCGGTTCCCGCCCCTCGCCCCGCCCCTCCCCGGCTCCGCGCCCCGCCCCTCACCAAAGCCGCTGTCGTTGCTGGGAAACCCATCTCCGGGGGTGGCGGGGTGGGGAGGCGTCGGGGGCGCTGGGGGCGTTGACGGGTCCGTGTCCCCCTCGGAGGGGCCCTGGACGCTCAGCTCGTTGGTTGGCGTCTCCTGAGGAGGCAGATGAGGGCACCCGAGAGGGCACGATCGTCACATCCCACCCACCGCATCCCTAACCAGCCACCAGCCCCGCTGACATTTCCGGGGCTTCGGGTGTCCCGAGTTGTCACCGACTCGCACTCTATGAAAAGGCTGCTGGGACCCCCGTCTGCCCGAGGCTCCTTACCTGCCTGCGAGCCCTGCCCACAGCTAAGCCCCGCCCAGGACATCTAAGTAGCCTCCGCAGGACAACTCTCCTGCTTCCCGCGTTGCCCCAACACAAAACCATCTCCGTGAGCCCCACTTCCCCGGCCCACCTATCTCCCAGATTTAGGTCTCAGACGTCCAATTTTGTACCCCAGAACTACCCCACCCTGTTCACATCCAGCTCCAGGAGGTGATGGTCCCGCCCCTAAGCCCCGCCTTCAGAAGTGGCCCCGACAGAGCCCTCCAAGTTCCAATCTTTTTTTTTGGGGGGGGGGATAAAAAAGTGGGCTGGCTCCAGCTCTTGACTCTCTCTGTTCTCGTTCATCTTATGACAGCCCTGACCCAGGTTTGTCCAGACAGGCCCTCAGTCCATGAGCACAACCACCACGCCCTTCCTCTTTATCTTCTAAACTAGGAACAACTGAGCTACATCCCCAACCCTTTTAAATTAAAAAAAAAAAAAATTTGAGACAGGTCTCGCCAAGTTGCTGGGCTAGCCTTGAACTTGCAATGCTCCTGCCTCAGCCTCCCAAGCAACTGGGATTACAGACTGGCTTCTTATTTTTTTTTAATTTTTTAGTTGTTGATGGACTTTTATTTTACTTACTTATAGGCGGTGCTGAGAATCGAACCTCACACCTGCCAGGCAAGTGCGCTGCCGCTGAGCCCCAGTCCCAGCCCCCTCTGTTCCTTTTAACAAGATCCTCAACCCATCTCTCTATGACCCGCCAGTCATTAGTTCCTCCCATTCCTGATCCTACCCCAAATCGTAAGTCCCACCTGGTTAAGATCCCCCCACCCTGAGTCAACCTAGTCCAAACTGCACTAGTCTCCGTCCCCACCCCTAGGCCACGCCCCCATCTGCTCAATACTTTCTGCTTAGCCTCTCCAGCTTCCTCTACCAAGTTCTTCCCTTTTCTTCCAGATCTCCTCACATTCTGCAGGCCTCTCTAAGCTCTCCATATCCCTCCACACCACAGGTCTCCCCCTCAGTCCAGTTCCAACTCCCTCTCTAGAATTCGCCCACCCCCTTAACCCCTTCCCCTTCCCACGTCTCATTTTCCCAGTCTCACCTCATTCCCTGACCTCTCAGGTACCTTCCCACCCTCCAGGCCCCGCCCCCTCGAACCCTGTCCCATCTAGGTCACGCCCACCACGACCCTCTCTAGACGAGGCCTCCTTCCAGATTCCACCCTCGCTGGTCCACCACTTCTAACCCCGCCCCAGTCGAGGTTTGGCCTCCCTTCAGGCTGACCCCACCCCCAACTCAGATCCCGCCCCATCCTCACAGACCCGCCCCATTGCTAGGTCTCACCCTGCCTTTCTAGACGTGCCCCATCCCTTGACCAGCCCCAGGCTCCGCCCCATACTATAATCCTATAAGCCCTGCCCCCTATGGTCAGCCTCCGCCCCAGGGGCTGGGCCTCCCTTCAGGCCCCGCCCCCTCTGGTCAGCACCGCCCCACCAGAGGTCTGCCTCCCTCCAGGCTGCACACCGGTCCCAGGCTACCCGCGACCTTTGAGGATACCCACCTGGTCGAAGAGGTAGACGGTCACGTCCCCGTGGAAGGAGACCATCTTGCGTTTCCTCTCCAGCTCGCTGTCCTCGGACTCGTCGGCCCCGCGCGGAGACTTGAGCAGCCCCCGCAGCGGGCGGGCCGCGTCCGCGTC